AATATGTATAGTAAGTAGTTTAATTTCTTATGAATTTATGGTGCTATCTTTTTAATTAGTTTATGAATGATGATTAGCGTTTTAATTATTGTGGTTGTGTGTGGTTTAATTTATACATTTGTGGTTCGATATTTTGTTAACTAATTTAAAATGTTGGCTTATACTATTATTTTGAATTTTTACTATATTATGGTTACATTAATACGCGATTAATTTGAGAATTTTAAACTAGGAACTATGCTTGCAAAGCCGTGTTTTTTTTTTTACAAAAGAAAAAGAACTGAGGACTCGGACCAAACCGGCCCGTTTCAAACGGGGCGGGTAAGGTTCGGTTCTTGTTTCGAAACTTGGTATACCCGGACCGAATCTACCCGTTAAATGGAACCGGCGGTTTTTGAAAATTTATCATTACCCAGGCTGACCCGGACCTTGCCCACCCCTAGTATGAACTATGAAGTTCAGGCAATTCAATTATTTTGTAGTCTATTACTCCATCCGGTTCACATTAATCTTTACACTTTGACTTCATATATATTAAGAAAATAAATTTGACTTTACTACAGTGTATACTGATTGACACTGTTTGGCATTATTTGGCACTGTTTTGCACTGTTTGGTGTAGGGTAAGGCAAATAAGGAAGTGTAAAGTTTAATATGATACTTCCAAAAAAGGAAAGTGTAAAGATTAATGTGAACCGAAGGGAGTACATTTTTCAGAAATAAAATTCTAGTAAAATTTTTCTTTCAAATTTATGTGTGCTTAGTAATTCAAATCACACTATCAATTGATGACGGATTCTATCTTCATGTAATATTGACATACATCAAAGCATTAAACCAACACACTTATAATGTAATGGTCAAAATGAGATTACTAAACATTACTTAAAAGATAAAAAAACATCCAACAAATACGTTGAAACCATAACATTGTAAATATGCATTAAAATCGATGTGCTCACAATACTAAAGCATTACTTCCGGGTACTTCTTATTGGTCTCCATTCATGTTGTGAACACACTGTCCTTAACTGAACATGCCCGAACCACTAAATCCAGAGGCTGATCATCGCATAAGACAACACTTTGTTCTTCCGGCAAATGGAAGCTCAAATGTTCAACTGTCGGGGTCTTATATTGAATTTCAAACCCAAATATGCGCCAAGAAGCCTCGCACGCAGAAATGTATCTACAGTTATAGTACATCCGTATCTCATCTATTGATCGTGCATCGCACGGTTGGTGATTTCTTTCCTAAAAAATGTACATAACTACACAATACATGTACTATTGAAACAGTCCCACGTTAGAGGAAATGTGTTGAAAGCTCGTGCGATGCACGGTTGGTGAAATTCCACAGATGTAGTTAGTTTTAATCAAATTTATTTTGAAAGAAAACTAAACTTGTAACTTTAATTGAATATGACTAAAAAAGTTATACTACCTACTACGTACTATATAAAGTTGTACTATAAAAAGTTCTTATAGTATGTATCACGCACTATAATGTTGATTGGTTATTATTAACCCAACCACACAAAGTTGAATATGACTAAAAAAAGGCATTTTCAACAACAAAACCAATGCGCCACAATGACGGCTAACATTTGAAGTTGTTAATAGGAATGTTTAGGAATCAACACATTTTAGCTCACACTAACTTATATCAAAATAAATTCTTTTAGTAAAATGTTTTGCTAGTAATTCATCTTGCGAAGCGCAAATGATTTTGCCATTTTTTTCATTTTTAAAGGTTTATATAAATTAATTGAAAGTAAATTATTTATAATGACTAAGTAATAAGGTGACTATAAATTTACACGAATTGCATTTTTTAGACGAATTGTCTCTCTAAATAGGTCAAATAAGGGAGTAAAATATGTGAAAGTGTGTTATGTCATTCTTGAATTATACTTGAACTAGTTTTCAAGCTCATGCGATGCACGGGCAGTACATAATTTAGCTAATTGTAAATTTGATATTTTGAAAATCGAATATAATTTAAAGTGATGCAAAAGCAAAATAAACTCGACCTAATATAAATCCATTTGATAATACTAAAATTGCTTGAATTGTCTGACTCTACTGTAATTGACGGAATCTCCCAAATTATGAAAAAGTAAAATAAAATATACTACGTATTACATATATAATTAATAAAATAAATTAAAATTTATATGAAAAATAATAAAATGGACTTCTACATAAGCATCTCAACTAAACATAATTGTTATGAACTCGATTTTAAAGAATTCACACAAAAATTTCTTAATTAATTTCACATCCTTTATATTACTTCATTAAGCATCTCAAAACACTATTTTTTTTAAATATTTCTGACTCAACATGGTATGAAATAAGTATTTGTAAATTTTATTAGTAAGATCTTACATTTTACTCATTATTTTGTCACATTGAAAATGTAAAAAAAAAATTTGATCATTTTTACAATTTACTCATTTAATCTGTCACATTGAAAACGTCACTAATAAGGATATTTTTAATTAGATTGACATTTTCAGTTCTAATTTGATCTGGAGTAATTCAATGCGGAAGATGTCTATTTTATGTATGTATAACTTTAATTATTATTATTATTATTATTATTATTATTATTATTATTATTATTATTATTATTATTATTATTATTATTATTATTATTATTATTATTATTATTGTGATTGATGTTTGATCCGATCTTGTCTGAGACTGAAATTAGTCCAATTAAAAACATCATAAATGTATGAAGATTTCCTAATTTGAATTAGGAAGTTATTTCAAAATTGAAGGAACATTTAAATTGTAGTTGTAAAAATAAAGGAGTTTTTCCTTAAATGTTACTAATAAAAAGTCGTGGACAAAAATATTACTCCTAGTGACTATTAGTGACTATAGTTATGTTTAAACTTTACATCATAGTAACTTACATGTAGTTACTAAGATGTAAATTTGAACATTAATATAGTTACTATACTAATACTTACTAAGTAATATTTTTGTCCATCACATTTTAAAGAGTAATATTAATGAAATTTTTTCAATAAAGAAACAACTAAAAATATTTACTTTTTGTATAAACATATATATATTTATATGTATGATATGAATTTCCATCCTAATAAAGGTAAGCTACTTGATCATGTATATACTCCGTACTTGATCAATAAAGTTTTAAGTGTTTTCATATATGAATATCTAATACTCCCTCCGTTCTTTAATAAAAGTCCTTCTTTCCTTTTTGGGACGTTTTTTTTATTTGTCCTCCTTTCCATTTAAGGAAAGTTTTTACTTTAAATATACCTTTATACCCCCACTTTTATTATCATTACCCCTTTCTCTTTCCTACTTTTTCATTTACCCACTACTCATTACACCTTTTACACTACCCCTACTATTTTCCTCTTAAAACCCGTGCCAAAGCCTAAGAGGACAGATAATAAAGAACGGAGGGAGTAGTATATATCAATTTCATTTTAAATTAAAGTATGGGTCGAAGTTACTGTAGATGACCATTTTAACTATTTTTCATTAATATATTTTTTATTTTATTAAAAAAAATATTTTAAATATAATTTCTTCATAAATCAGCATAATCAGCTAATACAGTCACTCCAGCCAGAACTTCATAAAATAATTGATATAAAATATAGTCTATGTGTACGGATGACTATTTATTGTTGTGGTTCCAATTGCTTAATTTAATAACCATCCAAATCAATACGGAGTAAGTAATAGACTAATAGGTCATGAAAAACCTACCAAGTAAGGTGGATTTTATCCTACTCTGGACGAAGTGGATTCTCAGCGTTTGGGCTAAGTAATTGTCTGGAACTCAAACGGGAAAGATGGTCACTCAGAGATAGGCTGAGTGGTGTGGCGACGGTAACGGAAGGATGACAGACGTGTGCTGATCTTTTGGAAACGGCGGAAACGTAGACCAAGTATTTAAGCCTAGGGTACACTTTTGTAAAGCTATAGTGTACCACCAACACTTTTTTTATACCCAAAATACCCCTACCCTCATTCATGCTTATAATTTTGTAGATAAATCTAAAAGTTCTTTCACGCTTGAGCCTCCCATGCTTAGAGCCTTACATTGAAATTAGTTGCGCATCCCATGTTTCACGTAGGCTTTAAGGACTTAAGGCTCACGGTCTCGTATTGATTGAAGAGTTTGAATTGATCGATAAAGCTGATAAACCGAAAAATCGACTCACCAAACAGACGATTCCTTAACACATGAACCTTTTTACTGTTTTAGATCACTAGTTTTATGTAAGTTACTCACATATGGAATAGAATCAAAATATAATGTAATATCATACTACGTATATAGTAACAAGTTCTCATTCCTATAGAAATACATTTCTTTCATTAGAAATTCCACAAACTAGTCTTACTTTGAAAATCACCCCTTATATAGGAGGCTCTGTCTGACTGTCACCATTTGGTGTGGTTCCCGGTGGATTTTTTGATGAATTTTTTTGAGCATCTTCTTCATTAAGTCTAGTTTACCATACCAAATTTCAGATAAAAATTCAATCGGGAAAGCAATCAAATGAATTTGTGAAGATAACTGCGCAGTTAAACAGTGCAGTATATTTAAGAAAATCATTTCACTGCCTTCCCGGTTGAATTTTTAGTTGAAATTGGGTATGGGTAAAATAGACTTAATGAAGAAGATCAAATATTTTCATCAAAAAATTCCACCGGGAGCCGCCCCAAATGGCGTCGGCCGGACAGAGCCTTCTTTATAAGGGATGATTTGCACTATTGATATTAGTTCGAGGACTGATTTGATATTATCCCTATTTTTTTGTAGTATGATACGAATTCGAACTAGAAGTGTACGCAAAGAAAAAAATTGTTTGTACACGTTTTGTGTAAAGACCATCTAATTGCCGTACAACTAGATAATTCTTTAAGAAGCTGCATTGGACAGACAACTAGGGAGATATGTACTTAAAACGTGTACTCAAAACGTGTACAAGTAGACCTCTTGGATGCAAAAGTGCGCCACACTGCGCTAGCGCCGTGGCGGGCGGCCCCGCGTTATGGTTAAGATTTAAGAACTTGAAAAGTTGTTTTCAGAGTCTGAATCTTCCCGCAACTCAGATCAATCATTCTTCTTTATTCTATCGCCTCTTTTTCTTTTCCTCTCTGTTATTAACAGAGAGATTCTTCTCTTCTGCAACCTAAGCTTTGGATGGGCTTAAACCATGAACGGCAAGGCTACTGTTTCCAAAGAGCTTAATGCAAAGCACGCCAAGGTCAGCGCTACTCTTCTTCCTTTGACTCTTTTTTAGTTTTTTCTTTTCTTTTCGGTTTATATATTATAATTGTCCAATTAATCATGTTGCTTTATCTCAAGGTTCGTTTACTCAGTTTCTCTAAAGTACCTATTATTCATTACTTTTTTACTTACCAATCACCCAATAGATTACATATTGAACGGATGTAATTTATTAATTGAATTGTTGGGAAAATACTGTGTGCAAAAAATTTCTTATACTGCACGATGAATCCAGTTGATGGAAGATGACTTCTTGTCTTCTTTTACTACGTAGTACCGATAGTATATATTTTAAATTATTTCTTATTGCATTTATTTATAATCAGAGGAGTTACCGGATGGAGAGTCAAACAATATCAGAAAATGTTGTTTATACGCGCCATTTTACATGCCAATTGAATTGTACGTGCATAGACAATTCGACCGGCGTGTAAAATGGCGTGTACAATAAACGTGTACATGAAGCATGATTGAACAACAGTACCCCTTGTCTTAAAGTTCAAAATTGACCTTTTTGGAGTAGAAGTAAAACCACCTTTCGTACTAAAACCAGCCCAAACTATGATTTCGGTTAGGTAGATTTTATGGTACCCTTAAGTATCATACCTTTGTCCACATAGACTAATTAGAATGATGCAGTTGAATTACTTAAATCTAAATTAATAAAGATATAATGATTTGGACCAATCAAATGCATGGTAGGTACGGTACCCCCATTTTTTAAATGTGTACCGGAGTTGTCACCGGTTAGGTTATCCTAAATTGTATTTGTATCGAGTTAAAACTTAAAAGCCATACTAAACACACTTTTTAACTTATGAGAGGAGCTGATAGCAATCTCCTAGCTTCAAAATGTACTCAACTTTGCATTTTACTATGCTTTACGTTTGTTTGGAGACAGTAAAATATACAATAATTCATGCCTCTTATGATTCTCACAGATACTTGAGGGGATACTTAAACTGCCAGAGAACAAGGAATGTGCTGATTGCAAGAGCAAGTACGTGATTTGTTAAAGTTTATACAGCTTAAGGAAGAAAAAAATTCTTAATGAAGTTTACTTTTATATGCCTTTAATAAATGTACAGAGGTCCCAGATGGGCTAGCGTGAACCTCGGAATCTTCATTTGCTTGCAATGTTCTGGCATTCACAGAGGCCTCGGAGTACATATCTCAAAGGTCCATCAATTTTCTTCATTATAAAGACACTTTTCATATTTCTTCTCATGGTTCTTTCATGAACGACTTTTGAGTTCTTGAAATGTGATAAGAATTCATATTTGTATCAGGTCACTCTATTGTGTGTCATACTTTACATGGATCAAACAACACTGAAAGAAAGAACTCAATCCTAATACATGGATCAAAGTCATAAAATCATGTTTATTACTCCATAGTTTATATTAGGACTTTCAATTTCCTAGTAGAAGTTGATATTGTTTGAAAAGAAAATTGAATTTTAAAAAGTACTCCGTAAAAGTTGAAGTGTTTGATGGAAATGTTCTTTTAGTATAATAAAAAGGTGAAAGGCAGTTTAAGACACTCCTTTCACTTCAAGATTTTATCTTTAAAGTGCTTAACTTAAGCAAAAACGCCTTTTTTAAAACACTTCTTTTAGCTGTTTTAATATGAAAAACTGAGAAACACTTATTTTATCTTTTGCAAACACTCCTTAACTAGTGTGACAATGGCTTGCCCTCAAGAAGAAATCTGGTTGGATCAAACTAATCTTTAAATTTGGTGTGCTAGTTGTTGAGGTTTATCAAAGTTGAATTACTAGTTTGCGCTTCAGCGGTTACTAATTACTCTGGGCTATGGCTTAAAAGTTTATGCATCTTCTCTGTTACTAGGTGAGGTCTGTCACTTTAGATACATGGCTTCCGGAGCAGGTTGCATTTATCAAATGTATGTAAGACCAATTGGTAATAACTTTACACAAATATTCGTATAGCGAATAAACCCATAAATAGCATGATTTAATTCTTAATTTCAGCAATCGGAAATGATAAATCAAATGGCTATTGGGAAGCTGAACTACCACCAAAATATAACAGAGTTGGCATTGAAAAGTTTATCCGTGCAAAGTATGACATCAGACTCATTGGTATTTGGTAGCTCCAATAATCAAGTTTGCTAGATTATGCCTTCTCCTTTTTTACATTTTGTGCATTATACTGAATGAATTTTTTAGGTATGTGGAAAAAAGATGGGTTCCAAGAAAAGTTGTTAGACTGGAGCCTAAGCCAGAAGCTGATAAATATCTAAAACCGTCTTCCTCGGATGTTGAAAAGGAAAAGCTAAACTGGATTACATTTGACACTGATATGGAAAATCCAAGTTCCAGTTTTTCAGGAGTGTCAACCCCTGATCCCAACCCAAACATCATTAAAAGTATAAAATTGCCATCCTATGAGTCCAAGAAGCCAAACACTAGAAATGATATCCAACCAGTCTTCTCAGCACCTAGAGTTGATTATGGTTCTCAACTTTTTGATATGCTCTTCAAGGAGGAGACTAAAGAAAATTTCAAGAAAGCATCTGCACTTCCAGAGGGATCTAAATGTAAATTTGCGCTAAGATAATTATGCTGACATTCTGAAATCTTGACAAGTTTTAACTTTTAATACTGAATTTCCCACTACCTTCAGGTGTAGGAGAGAAACCACTCATTAAGAAGAATGTTTCCTCAACCATTACAGGAAGTACAAATAAATTTGATCCTGGGATTGAAGAACTTATTAAAGATTTCAGTCCTGTCACAGAGATATCCCTGAATGTTGTGCAGAACATGCCATACCCCTTTGGCAAGGTTTTCTAAAATATAGTTCTTGCTAATCACATTTCATATTCCTTGTTATTAAAATTGCGACACCAAGGGAATCTGGTGTAAATTTTGTGCCACTGAACCCATCTAGTTGGGATTAAGGGCCCGTTTGGTGGTTTACACATTAAAACTTTACATGCAAAGTGATTGCATGTAAAGTTTAGGGCCGTAAAATAGTTTGCATGTAAAATAGAAATACATCATTTGACTATGCGTGTAATGTTTTTTTTAAAATACATGTAAACTCTTTACATTGTTTGTTGTCAAATAAATTTACATGTAAAATATTTAGAAAAATAGCTACACCTCCTTAGCAGTTGACCAAATTAAACGTGCCAGAGAACTTCTAGCATAGAGTGGCCTGCAAACTTTAATTTTGAGAGTTGAAGGAATAATCACTAAAAATTTGTTAAACTTTATTTCAAGCAACCAGAAAGGATTAATCACTCTAAATCATTATTCTACTCAATCAAATATATGAGAATACATGAACAAAATCAAGAGTTTCCAGTACAAATTTACACTCAAAAATTAGGCAGCTAGAGGAAACCAACAATACAGGGTGTGTGCGTGTGTATATATATACTATATTTACAGACATATATATAATACATTAATACAGAGTATATAATAGAGTAAATTAAAGCCTAGAAGCTAACCTCCTGGTACGTCCATGGCAGACCAACGTTACAACGTAGAGGGAGAAGAGATTTTATGATGATTGCCAATTTGATGATGATGCAGACAAGAATTAGTTTTTTTGCCGCCAAAGATTTTCCCTTACCGCAGAATTCTAGTCTTACGTAGGTTTATGCAATATACGTAGTATATAATTTTCCTTTGCCGCCGTAGGTTTAAGTAGTAAATCATTATTTTATATTCTTATTAACGGATGTAAAATAGTTTACAATTCAACCCTCCCTAAGTAAAATATTTTACATGGTAAGGTATAAACGTTTTGAAAAAAGTGTCTCACGGTGTAAAATGTACTTCCTTACACTTTACACGCAAAGTGTTTACTTTATATCATACCAAATGAGCCCTAAGATTCTGATAATGATAATGATGAAACACCATGTGTACAAGTCATTTTACTCATTTTTTATATAGGCGCCCTAGTTTTCTATGTACACACATAATTCGTCAAAAAAAGATAGAACTTAATTTCAAAGCAGTTCTCAAGTAAACGAAGAACTTCTCAAGTAGAGATCTTCAGGAAATTAATACTGGTACATCACTTCTTACTTTCCCTTCCAATTCAAGAAGCATCAAATTGCTATTCTCATTATTTTTGTTTCTGGTTGGAAATGTTCACCATTCACTTTTTACGGTTCCTTCGGTTTCTTATCCAAATTCCAGGTATTGAAAGTAAAACTTTTAGTTTTAATTTACTACAGATGTTGGGCATAAACTGGTATGTGTTACTATTAAGTAAAAACTATTTCGTCGAAAAAGTCAAAATCTACATACGTAGTATTTTGCTTCTAAGTACGTGGGATAAGAACAATGTTTTAATGCTACAGACAGGATATTTGTATCTAAATTACTTGTCAAACAATTTGTCAAATATGTCTTCAAAAATTAGAAAAGAATGACTATAAGAGCATCTTCAATGCTAAAATGTGCACGGTGCACATGTGGCATGAGTGATAGCCACATAAATATTAGCAAATAAATTATCTCTCTCCTTATTTGAATGATTTTATACAATTTTGGTAAGTTTTTCCCTACAATGTCAACTGCAATGTCAACATTTAGACGGTCTCCTAGACATTGTGGAGAAAAACTTACTAAATCTGTGTAAAATCATTAAAATAAGGAGAGAAAGAATTTATTTACTAATATTTATGTGGCTATCTCTAATGCCACGTGTGTACCGTGCACATTATATCATTGGAGATGCTCTAAGGTAAACCAGGTTCCTGGCCTGTACCAATTTGAGTTCTTTAATTCACTCTTGTACTATTAAAAGCTTCAGTTAGAATAAACCGAATTGAAACTCGCAAATAGCACATTTGACAGGTTTCATATACTAGTATACTCCGTATTAGATACGGAGTAGTATTTTGCTATTCCGTAAAAGATAAAAATGTATTCATAATTATAGGTAGGGGTGCAAATGAGCCGAGCCGCTCTTGTGAGCCGCTCGCCAGCCGTTGGTCAAAGCTCGGATCGGATTCGGTCAAACTCGAGCCCGAGCCGAGCTCGAGCCGGCTCGTTAAGCAATCGAGCCATAAACGAGTCCGTTAATTTTAGGCTCGCTAGGGCTCGCGAGACTAATTTTATGTGTACTAGTATAGTACCTGTGCGATGCACGGGAAGAATTATAGAGTAGACAAATCACATTTTTTTATCGTAGTAAAGACAAATCACATTTAAATAGGGGGCGAAGCTAAAGTAGGGCCAACCTTGGCCCTGGCCCAGCCCAAAATTTGAAAATGTCTAAATTTTTAGTGTAAAAAGTTTCGTGTAAAATTTTCCTAAAAAAATATTCTTTGTATCGGCCCAGTCTGATACAGTGTCCTGGCTCCGCCCCTGCATTTAAAATAATAATAATGAAAGTATTAACAAACTTATTGTATTTCACACAACCAAAGTGTTATCACTCGATGGAAGGTGAAACTTGAAACTTGATACTCGGCATTATAAGTTGGGTTGGGGTAAAATGCTTTCTAATTAAAATTCGTAAAATGGACGTGTAAGTTTTATACCAAAACTTCATTGTAATTATTTTAGAAGTTTTCCTTAAATAATACTCCACTAATAAAAATATCATGGACAAAAATGTGACTTAATTAGTATTCGTAACAATTAGAGAATATATTTGTGTTCAAAATTTACATCACAGTAACAATTATACGTAGCTACTACGATGTCAATTCGAGCACACAATTTACATCACAGTACTAATTGTTACCAAGTAATTTTTTTGCCCATCACATTTTAAAGAGTGATATTTATAGAATTTTATCTTCATTTTATCATGTCAACACACAACTTCACAAATTCTATATTATTGAAGCGTTCTTTAAAATTTACTCCGTATATTCTAATTTTCATAGGACATACGTAGTACATGTTTTCATCAAAGATGTACCAATTGATCATTCGTAAATGGAATGGATTTTTGTGAGTTTATAAAAATGAACAATGATTCACACAAATTGTTTGTTATTTTAATGTTAAAAATGCTTTAAAATAGAAAATTCAATTGAAATACATATATAGGGTCAAGGCAAATCTTAAACTCAATCAAATTGGATACATTTTACGTGTCTTAATTTTCATTTTGAGTTGTTCCAAAAAAAGTGTCACAGTTTCTTTTTGGAAAATATATATAAGGTTCACCATATTTAATTTTATTGTACTCAAATCTCAACCACAGCTTTTACTATTTAATGTAGCAAAATTAACGAATACTTCTTCTATTCCCTATTAACTATTCTTATTTCTTTTTGGAACGTTCTTAATTATTTGTCTCTCTTTTCGTTTTAGATTTTTTTTCAAACTAGATACTTTTATACCCTCTTTTATTGCTCTTGCCCCTTTTTCTTTTACATATTATCTTCTCCTTCTTATTTTATGATTAATTTATTCTTCGTAGTATATTCTCTTTCCTATTTTTTATTTATTCAACACCCTTTATGCGGCCCCTAATAATTCCTTCTAAAAAACATCACAAAATATAAGGAGACTATTATTGAAGAACACAGGAAATACCATTGTGCATTAAGTCATAATTTACCATTATGAGCATATCCACTTCTTATAGATGCATGAACATAATTACCCTGCGACCACAAAAAAATATCATTAGGTTTTTTTCTAAAATAGGTGCATTTAAAATATGTAATTTAAAAAAAAGTATACCTCTTCATCGATCAGAACCATGTTTAGACAAATTAAGCTTCCTTGCCTTTTGTGATTGATGACATCACAGAGGCGTGTAACATGAACTTTGATTGTCCAGTTGGACTTTGATGTATCAAGTTGACGTATTAGAGAATAACTTCTGCATTTTATGGAACATTAATCAATCAGGTATAATGCATAATAATATCATGTATCATAAACGTTGTGAATGGTAAAGTATTATATGTACATAGTATTCAATAATATATATCATTAAAATGCTGTAGAAACTTACTGTGATGACATTCTTGATATAAGAACACTAAACAATAGAATTCTTCAAACTAAGGAGAAAGTCAATAGTGAAAATACACTTTTGTTTACATTCTTTTTGTATTTTATAATAGCTTACATATGCACTATAGGTAGTTTTTATGTTTCTAATTCTAAATTTAGAAACATAAAATATACTAAAAGTTTACTCCAAAATTACGTAGATTTAGATTTAGAAACTTAAAATATACTAAAAGTTTATTCTAAAGTATGAAATTAGAAATTAAATGATGATGAATAAAATCATTCTTTAAATTACGTAACTTTAGATTACGTAGCTTTAGATTTAGAAACTTAAAATATACTAAAAGTTTATTCTAAAGTATTAAATTAGAAATTAAAAGATGATGAATAAAATCATCTTTAAATTATGTAGCTTTAATTTAGATTACGCAGCTTTAGATTTAGAAACTTAAAATATACTAAAAGTTTATTCTAAAGTATCAAATTAGAAATTAAAAGATGATGAATAAAATCATCTTTAAATTACGTAGCTTTAGATTACGTAGTTTTTTTTATTCTAAATCAGATTTATAATAGTGCCAAATAAAATCAAATTTTATACAAATATGAGTTACCAAATAAGATGGTATACAAAACGTAACAAAATTAAAAGATATAGCAAGTAATTAAATATTATATAATAGTTATATATGATGACATGGCATGTTTATGTGACACTCTGTGTGCTCTTAAAAAGTTCCTCTTATATATATATATATATATATTGATATTGATTCTTAAATTATGTTTATAATAAATTTCAATTAATTTCAATATGTGAATCTTATGTAGTATGATGCGTTTGAAATGTGAAACATTTTAAATTGAGCATAGAGCAGTACCAAATGAGCATACACGACTTACAAAATGAGTATAAAAAATTTGAAAGCTTATTTGTGTATACTCATTTATTTTGGACGTTATACTCATTCGAGTTTAACATAAAACTCGTTTCTTAAAGCACATTTGTGCAACCTTTTAAAATGAGCATAAAGTGATTCTAAATGAGCATCATAACTTACAAAATGAGCATCAAAAAATTCAAAAGCTCATTTATGTATGCTCATTCATTTTGGGCGCGACACTCATTTGAGTTTAACATAAAAACT